GTAATTTTGTTGAGTGTACTATAAGTCCATTAATATAATAGTAAGTATGATGGCAACTCTAAATACAAAGTCTGTATGGTTAAGTATGAAGCCAGGTGTGTAAGAAAAATACTCATAACCACATGGAGTACTTAGTATCAGATCTAAGTGACTGTCAAGTTCAGGTTGATAAAGAAAAAAAATGCTTAATGTTTTCAGGTGCAAGTTTTTTAATCTATTAATGAAATCTCATTTGTTTGAGCATTTCTGATTATATGACCAGAAAAATAAAGTTTGTGTGAAAACTCAGCACAAATAACCATAATATTTACGGCCTGGAAAATACATATTTAACCCACATAATTGGCAAAAAACAAACTTCTAAATTCTAATTCAATCTACTGGTAGCCTTGTCAAGGTGGTTGCAAAACCACTTAGGCTTTTCATCCATCATGGAGTTGTAAATGTAATTCATATTTCTAGAAATAATTATAAATATTATATCCTAGTAAGCTGTTAGATGGATAAAATATTGTTTTATTTGTTGCTATACACACACACTAAAAAGAATAATTTATATTAGCATTATTATTTTATTTAAATACTCTCAGAAGTATAATAAATAAAATCTATCAATCAGCAATCAATATCTATAGTTATTATATTATCTAATCAATTTATTCAACCTTTAGAAATAGTATGTTAAAAAATTAAATGAACCAATGCTTTAAATAGTTCTTAAAGATCTGATAATCGTAAGGTCTTATCTTCCAGACACGCTATATACCATCCCCTAAATGCATCATTCATTTCCTTTGATATATTATGATTAATGACATGGATAATAATTACAGTCATAAATTTATTAATGATTTATTAGATAGTTAAGCCCTAACCCACCTTTGTATGTAATCATACATTGTTCGCTATTAAGATCCCACAATTTTATGCTGCAAAAAATAACACACATGTATATATATTAATGATCTACGATAATCTTGCCTAAGATCAGTTATAGGCATCAATTATTCAAACGAAAGATAGGATTAATGTCAAAAACATTAGAAAATTTCAAACAATCTGAAATCTAATCAATGGAAGTACAATTCGTGAAAAAAATATATTTCACAACTGAAAATAAATTGTAAAAACGGCAACATTTTATGAGGAAAATCTTACCTTCTGTCTCGACTTCCACTTATAATTCGTTTTCTAGCACAGTCCACACTAACAGAAGATACAATATCGTCGTGCTCCGTTAGTGAGGCTAAATTTTCTAGACCTGGTAGACTTCCAGTTTGCGCCCAGATTTCGACCGATCCATCATCTAAACCAACGACCATCCTACTCGAGTCTAACCACTGTACATCATTTATCCCTGCTTCTGTACAAGCTCTACCACTGCTGTATTCAGGATCTGGAGCTGTAGAAGCGTCTTTGAAGGTCCAAAGTGAACCATTCCAGATTCTACCGGTCATTGACGATGAAGCGACAGCCAACGTTCCATCTAAGACAACATAAACACCATAAGGCTCCTTAATATTTTGCGGATTAATATCTAAGGGGTTGAGCTATCAGTAAAGAGGGTCCTGGGGTGCTAATTTACCTTGTCCATGTGCAATCGCGTCTATATTTTGATAGACTTCTGAAGGAAGAACTTCCATTTTGGAATGTATTTTTTTACAGCACGTGCGACTGCGACTAAAATATTGACAGTTTGCGGTCAGCGGTTTCATCTTTGCACTGAAAGGGCCTTAATAGGTGATACAAGGGCCATAATACCACAAGGGGTACTAGGTTTGTTAATTTTTTTTAATATAAAGATATTTTACAGATATTTTAGAGTAAGGTACAATCATTCCAGCATTGGGGCAGCATGGTGCATAATAGACATTCAGTTCTCAAAACTTGTATGGGCTTCCTGTGGGTCAGTGTGATGTATAATGACTCACTTTGAGTGAGGTTAACATTAAGGCCCCCAGACCTTCTCTAACCGTGGTCTCTGTAGTGTTAATTCAGTTCATTATTACAATAATTAACCTCTAACCTTTTAACCCCTAAATAATGAGCCTTGTGTATTTTCCCTTACAGGTGTGTATTTCACATCTCTTGACCCAAACCACAGTCCTGAGAAGCTGGTTTTAAACAACTTTACTAGAGGCGGCAGACGACTTCGAAGCACAACCTTGTTTAAGAGAATCCATTACGTTGTGCGCGTCACATTCGAAGAAGATGAAGTGGAGAAAATCCAAGATGGTGACCGAGACATATACCTGTACCGGGGGGATGTAGATCTTACCAATTACCCTGGATACGAGGTTATACATAATCGTACTCCATAATGTAACACAGCTGCATTTTATTCTGCTGTCTTTTCTATTTTTCCCTAGCTAGCTATTTTAAAAACTTTTAATTGATTTTAGCATAAGCCTGTTTTTTAACATTAATTTGCATAGGTTTAAACTAATTAGCTTCCCAATTCACCATTTTCCATACATCGGTTTACTGGTCAAACACAAAGCATGGGTTCGGTCGAGGTTGCAAGGTTCAAATTTGAATAATCGACTTTGAAAGTACCTTGGCGCCTCGCTTGGAGCTTTTTTTGACCAGTGAACCAATGTATAGAAAATGGTGAATTCTTGGGGTGCTTGTTACGTCCTACCCGCCATCTTGGTTGACGATAACAGAGCATTCCTTTAGCTTCTCTAGTTCTGAGATTAGCCAACAAGGGGACTGTTTCATTGTTATTATTGATATCTCAAGGGATTTTGAGTATTGAGGTTGCACCCCAAGAATATGTTTGTTCTCCGCACAATTATTTTTTCTTTGCATAGGCATACAGTATTAAAAAACACTGATTAAGGCTGTATTCATCATGTGCATGCCAGTAGGGGGAGGTGATATTTTCCATTATCATTTCCAACTACATACAGTAGAGTACAGGCTAGGATTAGAGTACAGAAGAAGGCCTGCAACGAAAGCAAATATCCTGCGATAATTGTATTAGAGGCCATTAAAAAAAAAGGTTTTTTAAAACTAGTTCGAAGAAAAAAGTCGTTGATTTGAAAAGCCTTCTTTTTGAAAAAAAGTACAACCCATTGGATTGTACTGACAGCCTCGATACAATACTGCAGACCCAAATCCCCCCTCCCCCTATCCCCCCAGGTATACATAATAAATGCAGCCCATAACGTTAACTTTTGTGTTCAAGATTGGAAACAAAGATCATTCTGCAACGTTGTAGGTTATGTTAGCAAGATTTGTTTCAAGCACTTAATCTTTATTAATTTTTGAAGAGTAGTAAATATCTCTCCAATACGAGAGGAAATTTTTCAGCAGCTTTAAGAAAGGTTATGACCAATTTCTAAAGCAGTAAAAGACATGCATATTTGTTGATATCCTTATTTTCGTAAAAATCGGCTACATGCATTTTATATTGGTCACCCCTTACAATAGCTTCATTCCCCAAACCGTTTAACAAGTAACTTAACATATATAAAGTTGTTATTAAAGCTTTGAGTTACAAATGGTTTTGTTGGTCCTTTCTCCTACTCGAAAAGTTCATCAGTTACTAAGTCTACCTACAAGAAATCAATAATCATTTAAGAACCACAAACTGAGATCAACCGTCTTCTCTGTACTCCTAGTGAGTCTTAAAAATGGCTGAAAAAGTAAGCCTCTATACTACGGGTTGAATAAACCCGTTACAACTGTTTATTAGGGGTTTTAATTTTTGTAAAATCTGCGACGGCGACGTCAACCGGGAGTGTAAATAGCTGCACTTTGGGGTTTCGCGTCTTCAAAGTCTGTCTTTCCTGTGGATGACTTGACTTTAAATTGTTTCGATACAGTTTCGTGATCACCAAACAGAACTTTTTCAATCGTCGCGTTGACCATGTTCTCAGTGTTTGCTGGATCATTTTAGAATTTATACCAGTGGTTGCTCTTGGTTTGAAGTTTGTACTAATGTATATTTTGATAAAATCAAARTCTTCAACGCAAGAAAATCGAGAAAAATCGAAAATTGRAAAAAATAAAAGTGCGCGCGATTCAGATGTGCTGTAGAAAAACTGTTAACTCCTAAGAATYCCCAATTCATGACAAACAAAATATCAAGGATTTAAAGAAATTCTTATGTTAGATTTGGAGAAAATTGCACGAACATTTCATACTCTCAGTTTTGTTTATCGCTTTGGCGCACTCGGTTTAAAAAATTACTATTGAATAAAATTATTCAAAAATATCCTAAAATGTTGCAGTTGCTCTTGKTTTWAAACTGTGTGAGTTTGGTCAACTAGTTCCTTGCTGGTCTTGAGATCGAATTTTTTTTCGAAGAGCGTTTTTAAGTAAAGATTTAGCAAATCGTCGAAGTTTTGCGTTTTCCACGATTTCTCATAAACGGCTCGAACGATTGTTTTTTAAATTTAGCTACTTCTTCTCAAGGATATATGATCTGTACCTGCAAAAGTTCATGTCGGTTGATTCATTCTAATATTTTTTAAATGGCCCTTGAAGTTGGGAAAGTCACAAGGCAAGAACTCTACAGTCTCTTTTCGCAGTTCATAAGTTTATGCCAATATATTCCTGACAACAGTGTCAGTGCATTCCTTCGTGATTGCTCTAGCTCGATGCCTTTTGTATTTTATATGGTGCAATCCCATTAGTTATATATAAAATCAAGTTACTCTCATAAAAAAACAACACACAAACAAACAGACAAGAATAAATAAAACAAGCAGACAGACAGACAAGAGAAAAAGAGTAACTTGATTTTGATAAGTAGTTTCTCTCATGTATTATCAATGAGTTTTAAAATTTGAATTAAAATAACAAAAAAAAAAAAATAGATAAATACTTCAAGTGTAAATATATCCTCAACACACACTCTCAGCAAATAAAGGTGAGGTCAATTGGCCACTTTAGAAACGAGCAAGAGACTGGGGCGAGATTCCTTTTTTAATCTTGTTAATATTTGAGAAAGCGTCTCAACATTAAGAAGTCTGACAAATTTGAACACGATTGGATGAAAAGAACCAGAACTAACGGCCTTTCAAAAGTGTTGAAAATTTGAACCATACATTCTTTGTAAATTTTTCAGACTTTTGAAGGCTTGTAACTCTGGTTCTTTTTATCCAATCATGTTCAAATTTATCAGCCTTACTAATATCGAGGTGCTCTATCTTATCAGATGGCGAAACTCTTTTGCTAGTTATATAAAAATTYAAAACTCGCCCGAGTCTTTTGCTCGTTTTTAAAGTGGCTAATACCGACACTTCCCCGAGTAGCCCAACCMAAAAAAGTGCTAATCCCGACAATGAATCTAGAAGCCGTAGCCTTAGAAGTAGATAATTCTTATAACATCTCTTCTGATGCATATTAAGCCTCCTACGCAGGCGTGTTTCTCTCGGGAAAAAAAAAAAAGAAGGGACCAGCGAAAAGGTCCAGGTCAATTTCTTTGCCTAACTTGATTATCGATTATTTCTGGTGTTTTAAAAAATTATTTTAAACGATGATACCTTAATGATTCTTTGGTTTCTGACAAAACATCCCAGCCAGTCTGTCTGCATGTCCACTCTATGTATAACCAGCAACGCCAGCCCAGCAGGAGTTTAAATGAAAGTAAACACCTTTACAGAAATGAGGGTGCCAATTGGGTTAGTAGTTAACTGACAATTGGCCAAAAAATAGTTTGCCTTAACATAGGTTGTGTCTGACTTTAGTTGCCTAGCAACAGTTTGAATGGTAACGAGCATAATTGAAGCCAAAAGAGTGCTCCGGTGGATACTGGATCTCATTTCTGCCAGTCGTAATTCATCCATTAATAATGTCTGTGAAGAAAGACATGCAATTGAGGCATTAGACATGAAACCTGTGTTAACAATGAGTTAATCTATATGAGAATATATATAAACTATATATTTGTGCTGCAGTTGCAATTTATGGAATTGAGCTGATACTCGCAGTATATCAAGCAACTTATGCAGCTGCAAATTTAAAGACTCAGAAAAAATTATCAGAATTTTTTTTATTCTGAGTCTTTGAGGTTGCAGCTGCATAAGTTGCTTGATATACTGCGAGTATCAGCTCAATTTGATAAATGAGTTTATCGCTAATCACCGCTGTAAGTACAGCAGTGGCAAAGCTTAATGGAGTCAAACTGAAAGCACTGTGAGGACACCTCTTCTAGCTGCTATACGATCCATGTGTGACCCCAAGCAGAAGCTGCCTTATGTAGGATTGGTTTAAGAGGAGAGAGGAAAAACCTCAAAGCTCAAAAAACCCTTGGAGTAGGAAAGAGAACCAATTGAAATGACTAAGCTCACATGCAAATCAAAAACTGGGCCACAGAGGACCACAGAGGACCATGGAGGTAAAAGGTTAGTGTTTTACCACTCTTCGTTAATTCATGACTCCCCATAATTGCATCAAGTATGAATTACCAGGGAGGTACACACACCTCACTGCAGGTTGTATTGATAAGGTTTAGGGCTTTTTTATTACCTCTGGATATGGCCAGCCAGGTTCTCCAAAGATGATGCCAAGATATGCATGTGCAAGAAGATCCATCCTTGATACAGCTTTTGGGGTTGGTGAAGAGTCTGTGGTATCTTGGGGTGTGGTTGAGCTTTCGGCACTTGAAGAGGTTGAGGGGGAATGAGAGGGAGATGGAGATGGCGAGGAAGGTGGCTTTGCTGCTGCTTCATGTGCTACTTCTTTTCCTYTTTCCAACCAAACTTTGGTAGACATTAAACCGGCTATAAAAATAAAATCAGGTAATCTAAGATGGTTTTGCCAAGGACATGAGATTACTGTGTTGTGTGTAAAATTATGATTATAAGATAACAGATTATGATGTATAATTTATATAGTGACTTTTTTATGTAGTAATATGTATGTGCTCAGTGGCACATTACAATCAACAGAGTTGTAGCCACACAGAGGTTGGTTATGTTCCAGGGTTTCTTTACATCCTCAGGGGTTCTTTTACATCCCTCCAATAAGCATCAGTGGAGATAAGTGGACACCATCTAAAGTGGAGGAGGTCGAGAGGGGAAAGAGAGAGAGAAGAGAGAGATCTAGAGTACTGGCTTTGAATTATATCTTACCTGGGTTAGCTTCAAGGTATTGAGTAAACTTCTTTCTCTCATATTCTATAGACTGTTGAAGAAGCTGTGGTCTTATTGCTTGAAGTTGGAAATTAGCCATGTCTATTTTCATTATGTCTATAACTTTAAATATTTCCCTGAAAAAAAAAAGGCAATTCAATTTTTTTTACAAAGTAACTTTGTTGTCATTGAGTGTAAAAGCCCCCCCCCCCCACTCCCCCATTTTGTAAGGATTATTTCTAATGAAGGCTGACTTTGTGGCATCTTAACATTTATGTCGCTTTCTTGCTATTTTATGAACACCAACTTGACCCCCCCTCTCCCCATGGAATTCTTTTCCATCTGCTCTTAATTGGTTTTTCTTGTTTTAAAACAGAAACCCCAATAATACCTTTGAGATACAATTACAGACTTAATTTCAAGGATATATACATTGATATATTTTCAAAGTACCATACCTAAACAAATTGACTATGCCGTCCACTTGTAGGAGTGCCTGAACCTGCGCATCTCTTGCTGGAGCACACAGCTTTCCCAAAAGATTTACGACAAACTGTGCACATTGTCTGAGATCAAGAGCATTGTGATCAATCTGTTGCTTGATCAGCTCAATGTCAAGCACTTCATTGACTTGTGCCCTCAGGGAATTGTGGTGAGGTAAGAGAAGAGAAAGAAGGTTCTGTTGTAAGAGATAATGCTTGTTATGAAACAATTTATTCAACATATACAAGGAATATCAACCAGCAGGGTCTTGTTTTCATATTAGTCTATAAGCCTCTCCACACTTTGTTAATATGTCTTCTACATTTTCCATACTGAAACCTCTCCCTGGTCCCCCACATTTTATCATTTATTCAATCTAATTTTTGACCAGTGATTCTACTGCAAAGAGACATGCAAGGGCCGGGTTGTTCCAAGCTGGATTAGCGCTAATCCAGGATTAACTCTATAGGTCTTATTAAGAGTTAACCCAGGATTAGCACTAATCGGGCTTTGAACAACTGGGCCAAGGAGTATGATCAACGATAACATATTCACATACTTTTATGCACTTGACAGACTTAACAAGACATTTTAATAATAATAATAATAATATAAATGGGGTTCTTCTATAGCGCATTTTGATCAAAGCTGGCTGGTACTCACTTCTTTCATTTCTGAAATCAATATCAGCACATGTTTATAGTCAGGTGGCGTCGCTTCAAGATCCTCTGTCAACTTCTCCCAGAATGCTTTGTGAACAATTTCTTTAACATGCTTCTCAAGCCTCAAAAATACACAAACAAAAATACTAATGTAGAAAAACATTATGATAACTTTGTAATAAATTATAGATTGACACCAAACAAGAAAATGCTATACCTAATATGCTAAATTATAATTTGATGGATCTGTGAGTTAGTCAGGCCAAACAAACAAATAAGTGTGTTTCCTGTTGCATTAGAAAAATAATTGGGGTCGGTAGGTCGGAATTTTTTTTTACTGATACAAAAGCTTACTGGGAACGCTTATTAGGGTCGGCAAAAATCTACAAGAAAATTAGGGTTGGTCGTGCTACAGGAAACACACTTATTTATTTGTTTGGCCTCATGTCCTGACTTATAGGACATGCCCACAGATTGTTTCAGGGCTCAATCTGTCAGAACAGCTGAGCCCTGACTTTGATCAGCCTAAAGATTGTTTCAGTATTCCTGTGTGTTAGCCATGCCCTGACTTAGATCATTCCAAAGATTGTTTCAAAGATTTGTTGCTTTTCCCTAAAAACATCGAAAAATTATAAGCTTTTACAATATTAAGTGAAAGATTCCACTCATAAGATTGAATTTCATATTTTTTCTTTAATTCATTTCTACTGTATYGTCCCTTTTTTTATTCTCAAATTCTAACATTAAGTTCTTTCTCATGTGTAGGTGTTGTTTTTGAAATTATTAATGTGGTTGCTACGTATTTCAAAATCTTCAAGCCAAATGTTTTGCAGGTTTTTGTTTTTGAGGAATAACGTAGTAATTTATCACAATTAATTTTAACCTTAGAATATTATTGTATACTAATGATTTATTACAATTTTAGGAACAATTACGCAAAATTTTAAAAAACTTCCTTCAGATTTCCGTATTCTAGTGTTACTTTTTCCTTGTTCTCTTACATCTAAGAAAATGGGAATTAAAAGGAAAAAAAAGACAATTGAATTTTATCGAAAGCTGATGAAATTATTCTAAAAATTTGTTGAGTTATGAATTGTTTTTATTGACTTTAAAAACAAATTAACGAGACCCTTATACTTGTCGTAAATAATATCGACAAAACCCTATAGTTTACTTAATAAAGACTTACGAATTATCAGGGAAATCTTGTAGTTTAAAGTCATCGTTCATGACAAGCTCATGTGCGAGCGCCATATTTGATACAATGGCGGCCGCACTTTCTGCTGGATTTTCAGGAGTTTTGGGTCTCTGATCGCCGTTTTTACCATCGTCCATGATTTATGTGGAAGTGAAGATGGATTACTGATAATTTCGTGTTCGTTATTGAAAGATAAACAATATTAAAGTCCAAACATTGAACACCAACACTAAAAGTCCTCAGCTTTTGATTATCACAGACAAAAACAAAAGCACTGCGCATGCGCGCTTCATGAATATTCATAGCATACGATACTACGATACTCGAGTTTTTAGTTAACTGAAAATTAATATTCTTTAGTTGCTAAAAAATGGTTTGAACTTTTGCGGCGTTATTATAATATTTTATTGACAAAAACTGACTACAATTTTGAATTTATCTGGTATGATTTTTTATTTGCGTGATGCGCTTTTTAACGCTTAGTTTCCGGGAAAACGCACGGAATGCAACAATGGTAAATGGAATAGATTATCTATCGCGGAATACAGAAAAAAACTTAATAACTATCGTCATAGGTACAAAATGTAGTCTCATTTTTTATTGCTAAAGCAGCATAGAAGGAATAGTTATGATCAATTGATAGCGGACAAATGTAAAGAAAAGTGTCAAAAATAAATAAGAAATTTTAGCATAATTCGTTTGGGATTCCTGTGCTACCTCGGCTTTTGAGTCTGGCAACTAGTTTTTCCAAAATGGCGGCCAGAGTTTTGAGATGTGTAAATCTTGTCAAAGTTGGAGGGACGATTATACGATCAGCACAACGAAAAAATACTTTACAAGGTAACTAATATACTTAAGAATAACTAGGAATAAGTCTTGCTCAAAGATTCTAACATTTCTGCCTGTTGGAGTTCATATTTGTGAGAACACGTGAGTGTCTTTTCTTGTTTCGAGTGTTATTCACTGGTTTCCTCCCTCCGCAGAATCTTACACGCTAAATTGCGATTCGATGTGTGAGTTAATAACCGTGCCCTGACATTGATAAGCCCAGAGGTTGTTTTTAGAATATCGATAAAATTGATTGGAAACAGCTTTGTTATTACGTAAGTACGTGGCCTGGTGCAAGAAGTGCTATGTTCTGTATGTACTGACAGTAACACTTTATATACTGGGCGTTTGTTTTCTACAGGTTTATGTTCAAATGTTCAGAAAGTCCAAGGAATACGTGCAAATTTACTTGTAAATAATAACATCATGAAAAACAGGTATGTGATAACCCTGAGGGTGAGGGGAGGGGGGATGGATTTGTGTGACAGTCCTTTGGGGGTGGGGGGAGGGGGGGCTAGTATACCACTGCCCAGGGAAGAGACGTAACGTTTTTCTCGAGTTATGAAACCTTAGCGATCTAGGATGGAAGTCTCTTAGAGCCAGGAAAGGAATTTCCTTAGATCTTAATCTTTTATATCTAATTATTTTAAATGTATAGGGATTTTATTGATTTTAAATTTAAAAACTTATCTGAACATAAGATGCATTCATATAATTATTCTGGGATGATTTTTGTTTGGTTAGACATCGAGAGAGGCAATCCTAGAGGCAAATCAGACAAATTTAAAACATCCCCATTTGTGTGCAACTAGGACATCAACTTTACTGGATTTTAGTTCAGTGTATATTTTGTGCATTTCATAGAATCAAATATTAGACTAGTTGGTATTTTAGTTTTGTTTTACAACAGTATTCTTTCCATCATTGTTCTGCAGTTTAAAGAACTTTAGTGTTACGGCTGCAGCCCAGCAGATGATGACAGATCCACTTAACATGATCCAGAATGTCGATATCAGGAGTCCATCTAGTTCATCAGCATCTTCATTATCAGAAGCTGGAGCTGAAGATGAAGATGACCAAAACTGTATATCAGCCATCTATAATCCAGGTGTAATTTTCTTTCTCTTTAATATATTCTTACAGGTCTGTTTTGAACTGTAGCTTAAGTAATAGACCAAATCTACTTGGCCATAATGTTTTCCCATTTCAGACCAGATGTCATTCCCTAGAGTATCATTTCTTTGTTCAATGATTGCACATAAGGAGACACACAAATATGGATACAACTCAAACAAAGAATTTTAATCTCAAAGGAATGACATGTGGTTAGAAATGGGAAAACATTGCACTCAGCCGAATAGATTTGGTGTTTTGTCCATTATCTTGTTGGTATTTTTGCCAAAAATATTTCAAACCTTTTGAACTTGAAACTTTTAATTTTGTAGAAGTCATATCCAAAGTTGAAAAAGAAGCAACAGAAGGAATAAAAAGTGGGAAAGTATTTGCAGTTGTTCACTTAGGTAAGCAAAGCTACAAGCACTTAATCCAGAGATGATAAGAATCAGCTTTCATGTCAGTATTATCCATTATCTTGACCACCACCAGCAATGTCCCAAACATGCTATAGACTTCGAGAATGCACAACGGAAGATTGAAAATGAAGAATGAATTGAAAAATAAAATGCAATAATGAACCAATTTTTATGGTGGCATGCTTCATCTCATTTTCCCTGTTACAGTCATGATGAAAAGGTAAATTATACACCGTGAAAAGATGAAAAAACTTACTGACGTTTCGGACGCTAGTCCTTCGTCAAAGTAAAAGACCWMTTTTACTCCAACGAAGTAAGTTTTTTCATCTTTTCACGGTGTATAATTTACCTTTTYATCATTACTGTTTCATTAGAAACACCGACGCAGCTCACACTAGTTTTTAGCTAGTTATATCTTTTTATTTTACCTGTTATACGATTCTTCAATGTCGCTTCTATCCTTATTCTTTTTATTAACTTCAATCTTCTTCACATTTCAGGTGGTCGGCAATTTAAATTTACTGTAAATGATACCATTACTATCTTTAAAATTCCTGCAGAATTAGGAGAAAGAATAAAACTAGAAAAGGTATAACACTCTATCAGTAGGCTTTATCTATTACTTTTTATAAGCATTTTGTTCAAGATTGTGATATTTCCTCATCTACAGATCCTCCTAGTAGGCGGTGAGAACTTTTCTATCATTGGTCGACCTCTTTTAAAGTAAGTGATGGGGTCCCTGTGGGTTTTATCACAGGTAACCCATAGCAATACTGCAGAATCTTATTTTCTTTCGGGATGTACTGTAGCTGAAAAGGTTTTATATCATGGGTTTTTTTGGTCAACAGTAAAGAACTTGTAACAGTTGAGGCTACTGTCATAGAAAAAACAAAAACATCAAAAGTTATTGTCTTCAAGAAGAAAAGAAGAAAAGGATATAAGAGAACTCAAGGTATTAGGAATGAATGGGATGATAAGTGAATGAAAAATAGATGGATAGATGGATGTGTGGATAGATGGCTGGATGGATGGGCAAGTGGGCAGCTGGATGGATGGATGGACAGACAGACTGACTGACAGAGAGACAGACTGATGGATGGATAGATGATTGGACAAATGGATGGATGGTCAAACCAATGTAAAGATAGATGGACTGATGGACTGGCAATTAAGATTGCTCCAGTAAAAAAAATATTTTTTGTTTCCTTCAGGACACAGACAAGATATTACTGTCCTGAGGATAAATAGCATCAACATCAACCCTTCAAACCTTTCCTCTTCTGTTTGAACTCTCAATCTCCAGATATCTAGACCTTCCCCATTTCAAACTTTTAGCCACATATATCCCATGGATTACCATCATTAGTAGAAAAGTAACATAAAGAGAGGTGAATACACAACCCCTGATTCCCACCTCGATTCCCACCCTTGAATCCTACAAAACAAGGCAGTGATACATGTACACATGAGATCAAACATTTATTACATAATAAGAGTTTGAACAAGTAACCATGAAGATATATTTATGCTTGGAAAATATTGCTATTAAAACTATTGACGGTTCTTATAAATCCACTATTCTAGTGTAGGCGTAATTCATATAAACTGATACTCTCAAGTCTACCTCTTACACTTTCTATTTATAATTTACTATTTGAGAGAACATGTTTCTTGTTATGAGAACATCCTGTCAGACTTTCAAGTGTTGAAGAGCTGAGCTTCAAGTATGTTAAAAGTTTTAATGATGTCAGAAAGAATTTAAAAAAAATTATGCCCAAGTAATCTTGGAAGAAAATAAGTTGGAAAGAAATTAAGAATCTTTGGTGAGGTGCATGCATGTTTGAGTTGGTGAGAAATTCCACATATGCTAAGTGTAATGATATCCAGATATACATGCACTTAATTTAATCATTGGCCAAAATGAATTGTAAAAAAAAGGCAAAACAAAAGAAAGGATGGAAATGGAGGTTTTTCATGAATATTATATGAGCGGAGGAACAATGCAATCATTTTACATGAGAAAGAATTCAATACCCCAGAGTTCTACCATTAGCATAGCCATAAGCATGTGATTGTGCATGCGAATCCTTTATGACGAGACAGTGACATTAATTTTGTACTACAAAGGTCGAGATGAACACCTAGAACACTAACTCGTATACTGCTAACTATCTACAGTAGAGGCTTAGTAGTCTGTTTTTGACTATTAAAGCAACTTAAATATAATAGATCTTCATCATGACTCTGCTGTCAATATTAACTTTCTACTACAATTCTTTCCATCTTTCCTCCACACGTTTTGTCATCATTGGCAAAAGGAGATTCTTCTTCAGCAACATCCATGTTGTCTTGCTCATCCTCATCATTTTGGACTTCACCATTGACCTCAGGTTGTAGAGGGGGTTCACTATCAACAGAAACGACTGATGTGTTTCTTGATTTACTGAGCTCCACAACCAGGTCAGAAGAAGACTTCAGACCACACATGTGGGTTAGGACAGCCTTGTCCCAGCCACTGGTCATGAGGGAATCATCCAGTGGGCTCCAAGACAAACCGCGAACAAAGTCTGTGTGTATGTCACTCCGTAACCTGTAAAAATCAAATACTATAGTTTCATATGACTGACAAACTAAGTGTAAGTGGTATTCCTAGTTTTAATTGGAGTCAGTGCTAAAATTTATTTATCTTCCAAACCGTTGATGATATTTTGATGAAAATCAATGCCATAGAGAATCTTAAGTTTGAAGAAATTGATAGCAAAAGACTTACACTGCACTGTTATGGATTACATTTTGTACATTCACGATTTTGTCATCTGACACAGAAGCAAGCCATTCAGGGCTAAAAATGAAAATACAGTATAACATAATTAGATGGACGTGACCTGCTACCCATGCTCTAATTGGTCTAGAACTGTGATATATTAGAGCATGGAGCATGATACTAATGCACCCTCTCATATGCAACCTGCTTTGCAAAGAGGTGTTATATAAGATTTAAGCAATAATTAACTCTTCACACCTCTTGAGCTTTTAATGTCACTTCCTGGGTGCAGCATTACTGAATGGAGTATGGGAAATGCTGTTTTATTTCTTGAGTATTGATATAATTATGCACACTTTTCCTACCTTCTTGGTGAAAAAGCCACTTTATTTACAGCCCGTGTGTGAGGAGTATAACTAAATATAATCTTGGTCATATCTTTTATTGAATACACATGTACGCTACCATCTTCAAAACCTGACAAATAGATGAGTTAAATAAATTACTCATCGATATGTGGAAGAACATGAAACTGTGTATGTAAGTATATTTATAGTTACATTGGAAAGAACAGCAAAAATATTCAAAACCTTAATGATAAAAGGGTAACTTTTACAACGTGAAAAGATGAAAAAACTTACTAGCGTTCGAAAGGTCACAGTAAGTTTTTTCATCTTTTCTGTGTAAAATTTACCCTTTTATCATTACGGTTTCATTAGAAACACCGATGCAGCTCACACTGCAAATATATTTCAATCTTCATTGTGACCTTGAATAAACTTGATAAATTCTTTATCTGCAGGAAAACCTATGTATGATATTATCAATAATTGGCTGTAGGCTCTTGGCCAATAAGAAGCAATTTAGTGAGTTAAATTTATCATAAATACCTGTCGCAAAGAGGCTTGAATCCAATGGACTCCACGCTAAACAGTATGGTATACTTTCATACTTTGTAGGATCTAAAAAACAACAAAAAACCTTAAAGATTTCCTGAAACATCCTCTGGTAACGAGTGAAGTCAGGGTATGGCTAATTAACTCACTAAGTATGGAGATTACAAATTGTTAGACAAGTTTCTCTCATCTCGATAAGAGTTTATCATATTGACATAAGATTCTATTGTATACATATGTAAAATTGCAATGGCTATTTATTATGGGGGAGAAGGTTGAAGACAGACCTCAATAGCCACTTAATAATTAAGGGCTACGCCACCATTCTCTATGCATAAGATGTCCATCCATCCCCACTTCTTGGAATTTTCTGGGGTTAGATAACATGAAGCAAAATTCACACACAAAAAAATTGTACATACCAACAAGCTTCTTTGCAGGTTTGGCTTTCCTTGTATCCCATAATATTACACTACCATCCTATGACAATGAAAGTAAAAAAGTCATGGGATACCTGTGACTAAAGTTACCACAGGAATCCCAGTTTTGTTTCATGTAGCATTTTATTTTTACCTCAGATGCTGAAAGAAATAAATCTTGTTCAGTTCTACTACAGTCTATGTCTGAAACACTTTCTTTATGACCTAGAAATGAAATACTTTTAAGATCAATATTTTTTTAAAAATCTTACCAAAAATATTGTACTATCTATATGTTATGTCTTGTAAATTAGTATAGGAAATCGCATGATCTCAAGTACAATTTGGAAATTAATAGACACGAGTAATGTTTTGAAAGTTCTTGTAATTGCACGAGCCTTTAGGCGAGTACAATTAAAGAACTTTCAAAACATTACGAGTGTCTATTAGTTCCAAATTGTACGAGAAGATCGTGCAATTTTTTGGTTATAGTTCACTCAACAAAATTTCAGTAAAAAATGCGAAGCGACGCCGTTCATCTTTGTCTATTTGGCGGCCGATTTCCAGTCCATCGTGCAACTGAAATGCATAAAAAAGATTAGTTCTTATGGCTTTAAAATTTTATTTATGCTTTTTAAGTACAAAATGATAGAAAATAATTGTTTTGACATTGTTTTGGCCGTATTGCCATAGCGACTTAATTCGGTACTCCTACGGAGTACAATTAAGGCTATAATTGTACTCCTCTCGACCAATCAGAGTCGTGTAATTTTGTTGAGTGTACTATAAGTCCATTAATATAATAGTAAGTATGATGGCAACTCTAAATACAAAGTCTGTATGGTTAAGTATGAAGCCAGGTGTGTAAGAAAAATACTCATAACCACATGGAGTACTTAGTATCAGATCTAAGTGACTGTCAAGTTCAGGTTGATAAAGAAAAAAAATGCTTAATGTTTTCAGGTGCAAGTTTTTTAATCTATTAATGAAATCTCATTTGTTTGAGCATTTCTGATTATATGACCAGAAAAATAAAGTTTGTGTGAAAACTCAGCACAAATAACCATAATATTTACGGCCTGGAAAATACATATTTAACCCACATAATTGGCAAAAAACAAACTTCTAAATTCTAATTCAATCTACTGGTAGCCTTGTCAAGGTGGTTGCAAAACCACTTAGGCTTTTCATCCATCATGGAGTTGTAAATGTAATTCATATTTCTAGAAATAATTATAAATATTATATCCTAGTAAGCTGTTAGATGGATAAAATATTGTTTTATTTGTTGCTATACACACACACTAAAAAGAATAATTTATATTAGCATTATTATTTTATTTAAATACTCTCAGAAGTATAATAAATAAAATCTATCAATCAGCAATCAATATCTATAGTTATTATATTATCTAATCAATTTATTCAACCTTTAGAAATAGTATGTTAAAAAATTAAATGAACCAATGCTTTAAATAGTTCTTAAAGATCTGATAATCGTAAGGTCTTATCTTCCAGACACGCTATATACCATCCCCTAAATGCATCATTCATTTCCTTTGATATATTATGATTAATGACATGGATAATAATTACAGTCATAAATTTATTAATGATTTATTAGATAGTTAAGCCCTAACCCACCTTTGTATGTAATCATACATTGTTCGCTATTAAGATCCCACAATTTTATGCTGCAAAAAATAACACACATGTATATATATTAATGATCTACGATAATCTTGCCTAAGATCAGTTATAGGCATCAATTATTCAAACGAAAGATAGGATTAATGTCAAAAACATTAGAAAATTTCAAACAATCTGAAATCTAATCAATGGAAGTACAATTCGTGAAAAAAATATATTTCACAACTGAAAATAAATTGTAAAAACGGCAACATTTTATGAGGAAAATCTTACCTTCTGTCTCGACTTCCACTTATAATTCGTTTTCTAGCACAGTCCACACTAACAGAAGATACAATATCGTCGTGCTCCGTTAGTGAGGCTAAATTTTCTAGACCTGGTAGACTTCCAGTTTGCGCCCAGATTTCGACCGATCCATCATCTAAACCAACGACCATCCTACTCGAGTCTAACCACTGTACATCATTTATCCCTGCTTCTGTACAAGCTCTACCACTGCTGTATTCAGGATCTGGAGCTGTAGAAGCGTCTTTGAAGGTCCAAAGTGAACCATTCCAGATTCTACCGGTCATTGACGATGAAGCGACAGCCAACGTTCCATCTAAGACAACATAAACACCATAAGGCTCCTTAATATTTTGCGGATTAATATCTAAGGGGTTGAGCTATCAGTAAAGAGGGTCCTGGGGTGCTAATTTACCTTGTCCATGTGCAATCGCGTCTATATTTTGATAGACTTCTGAAGGAAGAACTTCCATTTTGGAATGTATTTTTTTACAGCACGTGCGACTGCGACTAAAATATTGACAGTTTGCGGTCAGCGGTTTCATCTTTGCACTGAAAGGGCCTTAATAGGTGATACAAGGGCCATAATACCACAAGGGGTACTAGGTTTGTTAATTTTTTTTAATATAAAGATATTTTACAGATATTTTAGAGTAAGGTACAATCATTCCAGCATTGGGGCAGCATGGTGCATAATAGACATTCAGTTCTCAAAACTTGTATGGGCTTCCTGTGGGTCAGTGTGATGTATAATGACTCACTTTGAGTGGCATGACACAGTGGGTCCAAATTGAGGTTGGATTTGATGTGCTCATAAATTTACTGTATTTACTCTCAACTTGAAGTTGTTTCATCATCACTCAAGCACATTGTTTCTTATGTTCCTTACATTCCATACAATTCTTTAGCTACTACCCTACTGGCACAGTCTCCCTGCTCAGTTTAGCCAGTGTAGCGGCTCTCGGGGGACCTTTCCTCCCCAGTCCCCTGAGAGATGCTACGCTGGCTATGCTCAGTTCACCACCCCCTCCCCCTCCCCCAGGGTAATCAGCTATCTGTCCATATCAAACTGTCAGAGGACTGATGCATGAAAAAACAGACACAAATGTTTCATTCAGAAACTTTATTTTATTATATGTTAATAAACAAATTGTACAAGATGTTTAAATGTTATGGTGTCTGCTTAATTTTTGTAGTAAAATTTGAAATATTTCTTTGCTCTTCAAGCTGACCATCCAAGCTGTTCCCTTTAGGATCTTCACCAATGATTTAATAATTCTATGACATCATACGTATATTCCAACCCACAGAAGAAGGAATAAAACTCCAAATCCCATGAAGAGAGAAGCAACAAGGGCAACCAGAAGCTCTTTATAGATGTCTCTTGTGTATTTAGTAGATGTTACTTCATAGCTGAAACACAAGTCAAGGTTTATTATAACAACTTGAACTGAATCGCATCATGAGTATAAACGTACAAATCTAGGAGAAGTTGACTGTGTGTACCTCAACTCCCTTTTCACATTTTACAAAGGACTGTTTTGAAAATTATGCAAAAAATATCATATTCAATAATGTATAATTTGTCATGTTTCTGAGAGCCCCTACCTCAGATCCTAGATAAACCTTTAAATAAATGTTGTGTTGGACTACTGACTGTAACATTGTAACATATTTTGACATTAATTTTGGCATTAATCAATACTCTTTGGTTGTTTCTTATCAGTCATAATGTTTTTAAAAGCATTTGAAGATTTTGAAGGTTATAACCAATCAAAACCAGACACATTTAAGATTACTTGCACGTTAATTAATTGACAAAGTAATAGTTCGATTTCTTTAAGAATTTTGTTTTGATAGAATTTCTTAGCTTGTCAATTATAATCAAAGCCTACGATTATCAAGTAGTTAAAGTAAGAATTATTTTCCTATGCTGTTTGCGAGAGATCGTTAGGGATGCACACGTAAGCACTAGTATAAACAATAGTAATAATATTGTCCTAAAGATGGATCGAGACTGTACGAAAGGATACACAAAGAACCAGGCCATAAAAAATATTCCAATCGCCAGCAAGACTATCGTCAGATGAGGAAAAACAGCTGGGTTGATAGGACTGGCATATCGGTTCATCGATTCCACCAACATTTCCTCCTAAAAAAATAATAAAACAAAAAATATAGTTTACAATTCATTCAAAATATCCAATAATCAGTATCGAAAGATCTCAAAATGAAGCTGATAACCATAAGATTAGGAATCAATGTATCTATATATGATTGATTTACGAAATAAAAATGGAGGATGGAGGGGGATTTTTACAGATTTTTAAGAGAAACTTACCATCTTGATACAAAAAATAAACAAAAGCTTCGAAGAGGAACAAAAAGACCGTTGCCTGGCTTTTGTCGGGGCTCAAGAAAACGTCTACATCGTTCGGAAAAGTATCGGTTAGAGTTCGGATTTTAAGAGAATCGCCGATGATATTTCCGATAGGTTATTRATTTAAGACTTTAATCCGAAGATTGAGCGCCATGTTTCTGGTTTGAAAAAATGAACACTAAAAAGAGGAAGGGAGGAGGAGAGACGTGGGAGAAAGGAGACGAAATACTACAAGGAGTAATTCTTGCCGATAGCTTTAATTTTAAATTTTTACCGATAACATTGGAAAGGCCGAGGGTAAGTTCATGAAAACAAACATACCAAGGGTAGACGTGAAATTTTCTTTTGCTATTTTCTTTCAATTCCAGATGCGCTTCCTTGTTGTTTGTTTGGGTCTAGTTTAGTTCTAGCGTAAAATAGCTATGCAATGGAGGTCTTTAAAACCAAATGCATTGTAAAATACCACAGCTAAATACTCCAGTTTCGAATTCTCAGTTTTACAGGGTAAGCCTCTGTTTGTATGGAAGCTTACTTTGAATATTCATGCATTCAAATGAAGGACCATGGAACTTCAAAGTATTCGTATTGTTGAAGTTGTGCATTCTTTACTTTGCCGTTGGTATTTGTAAATATTTAGATACTGATACGAGGCTAACGCTGAATAAATGAGTCTGTGATCAAAGACAAAGCCGTATTCATGGAGTGCATGCAACCATGTGACCACAACCTTCCCCCCCACCCACTCCCCTTCCTGGAGCAGCACCTGTCTAGAAGCACCTTACCAGTAAATGAGAGAAGGGGGGATAGGAAAATAAACATGTATAGACAATATGGGGAGATGGTACTTTTGATATAAAATGTTTAATGGTTGAATTAGATTGTTTTTATCAGTTGACTGTTACTGGGGTTTGGCACATGCAACATACATTGCATTGTAGCCACAATGTCGTGGATTTAATAAAATATTTGATTATAGTTTGTTTTGTTGAGACAACTTGCATGGCAGCGGTGTCTTTCATCCTTTTAATCTTAATGCATGGGAAGGGATGTGAAGCAATACATAATCCAGCGTATTTGATATATATGTATATAATTACCGCTCTTTATTTTAGGCTTTGCTACCTTTGGTGAACTGCACTTTGTTGGACTACACTATAGAATTCCTGGTAGAAGCTGGGGTTGAGGAGATATTTGTATTCTGCTGTGCACATGCTGATCAAATAGTCAAACATTTAAAGTAAGACATTAAATCAATCACCTGTTCTTCAGTATATTTATAGCTGCTATTGTGGGTTCCCTGTGATATAGAGCAGTTTTCCTTTGTCTGTGAAAAGCTCACGGCATGAGCACGGTCGTGAAATGGCAAGGGATACACCAACCCAGAAATTGCTCTCCATCCAATCAAATACCTGGAACATGCACACTGTCATGCTAATCACATTTTGCAAAAAAAATCAGCCAATCAAAATTCTAGAAAGCATCACGCTCACAGCACAGCACAAAAACTGCTCTTTTAGTATTTGCAATAGAATGGTATCCAAGGTTATACTAACTCTATGGTTACAATCCTGATTAAAGCAGGTTACCAAGGTACATTAGGTAACCATGGTAACCATGTAATAATAGTAGTTCCATATGGTAACCATGACGAGAAGTCAGCTAGATTCTTATGGCAAACCATCGATATGTAAAATTTATCAAGAGTTAGAACCTAATTCACCATAGCCCAAAACATTTTTTTTGCTTTTTGGTAGTGACTCAAAATGGATGGGTTCCAGATCACCATGTGAAATTCATACTGTGATAGTAGAAAACTGTCTATCTACTGGTGATGCATTGAGGGAGATTGATAGAAAGGTAACCTTATTTTCTTGTGAAGTAAATTAATACTGCAGTTTTGAGTTCTCCATTGCCAGGGTTAGCCAAGATTTTGTGCAGAATATTCATGTATTCCATTGAAGGTCCATGGAAATTCAGAGTTTTTGTATCATTGAAGTTGTGCATTCTTTATTTTACTGTTGGTATTTGTGAATATTCAGACGCTGATACAAGACTAAGCCTTTGAGTAAATGAGTCTGTAATCAAGGAACACAGCAGTTATTTATAATTTTATCAGTTTATTTATAATATAGATATAAAGGGAGGTACACAAGCTTATCAGTTTGCAACTGTAATGTGTTTAACCTTGTTAAATAAAGTTATTATTATTATTATTATTATTATTATTATTATTTATCATCTATTTACTTATTGTTTATTTTAGTCCCTCATCAGGTCAGACTTTGTTCTTGTTAGTGGAGATGTTGTCTCCAACATGAAACTAAAACATGTTCTTAATGAACACAAGTAAGTTCAAAGAATGTTAATCGAAGTATTATGATCATCCGGGTGGATGTAGTCCTGAGAAGGACTGTTTGATGTGACTGATGTTTTGACAACCTGAGCAGAAGATATCTTCAGAGTCAAGAAGATGACTTCCGCTCAGGATGTCGAAACGTCAGTCACATCAAACAGTCCTTCTCAGGACTACATCCACCCGGATGATCATAATACTTCAATTAACATTTATGCACCTGGGTTCAGACTGATCTATACAATAAGTTCAAAGAACTAACAAGACTATCTCAGAATAAGCACTATTATAAAGCTGTAATATTATGTTGAATTTCTTCTTATTCAATACTGACAAGAAAGTACATGTAGTAATACCGCGGTACATAGGGGAATGACACACACAGCAGAAAACAGTAAAACAGGTCTTTGATTATAAATATTGTAGACCTATGTATGTGGGGTGTACAAGGTTGAAGTTCATCCATTCTTTTTCTTTAATTTTCTTCTTGTTGTAATGTGTAGAGCAAGACGTCAAAAGGATAAATCATCAATTATGACCATGGTATTCAAAACAGCAAACCCTGGACACAGAACAAGGTAATAAATTTTGTTATAAGATAACTGTAAAAAGTCTTGTTTTCTAATTGGATGGGAGAACATTGCTTCATGAGAGCATCGAAGTACACAGGCAGCCATGTATCCTAAAAAGTCAAACTAAAGAACTGAATTTTACTGGTTTTTTCTCTAGGTGTCGGGAAGATGATACAGTACTTGCTTTAGATTCTTCAACCAACAGAGTATTATTCTATGAAAGAACAATAAAGAGAAAGAAGTTTGAATTTCCACTGGTAAAAAAATAATTTATTTTATATACTTATGATACTTTATGACCAGCCACCAATTGTTCCCTAACAACCAACCAACGATCAACCAACTTAAAACAGCCGCAGATTGTTGACCATCAGTCAGTCGATGCATAGTCGATAGTCAGACAACTATTTCCAAACAATCAGTGAACGATCGTCTGATTGTTGATTATATGTGTCAGCTGGTCATAAAGTATTTTATTTACAACCTTTTTTCATTATATTGAGCTTGTTGACCATTTTATTATTCAGCTTCTCAAAGCAAGGATTTTTTATGATATCAAAGTCATAAACATTTCATACTGCCAAGTTGTGAGTGATTGGCAAGTGTTTTATAGTGTCTGTGCCATCATTGATGTGCTTTGAGTTTTCACAGACATGGAGAATCTTCTTTTCTTTCTATATACACAGAAGCATGTTTTCCAAGCTGAAGCTCTCACCAAAGACTGTAATTCACAGCTTAATACATCTCAAAAATCTATTATATACATAATAAATTTGATTGATGGGCTGATAATGACAATATATATATTATTTGTTAATGACACTATAATTTGATTTGTTTAATGACAGTGAACTCTGTTTGTTTAGACTTTGTTTGCCGACAATCATAATATTCAGCTAAGATATGACCTCTTGGACTGCCACATCTGTATCTGTTCTACACAGGTAAAGCAACTTCCTTTCTCTTATATTATAATAGTACCCAAGACAAGTCACCCTTGGGGAAAGTGACAGATATGACCCTTATAACTAAGTTTATCAGTAATCAACGCCAGAAGTACAGCAGTGGTGCAGCTGACAACAAAGCCGAACTAAAAGCATGTGAAGGTGCCTCTTGTTGCTGCTATACAGCCCATGTGTGATCCCAGAGTACAGCTCTAGAGTAGATAGTCAATTTGTCATGAATTGTATCTATTTCTTCACAGGTTCCCCATCTCTTTACAGACAACTTTGACTATCAAACAAGACAAGATTTCATCAAAGGAATTCTCATCAATGAAGATGTAAAGTATTTAAATGAATTCAGAATTACTAAAGACGTTACTGGTTTACTCTGAAAGCTAAAGGGAGAGCACTTGGCATAAAATACAACAATGTTTTCTTTTATTTTTATGGGATTATTCCAGAAGGATTGATTGGCATTTATAACCTCACTATTTTTTTAATCTATCAAAATAGACCTTTGTAGCTCTTGCATAATGTTTTCCCAATAGCCCATTTCCGAGATATGCTTTGCTTGTCACACACAAAGGTTTCAGTATGAGGCTAGGTGCTAAATGCTCGGTCATTCGTGACAGGCAGTAAGAATAAATTTAATTTAGCATGTAGCATCATACTGAAACCTTTGTGCGTGACAATTGAAGCATATCTCGGAGGTGGGCCATTCAGTCCACATGTCATTCAATCCCTAGAGTATTATTCCTTTGTTTAATGGTTGTGCACGAGAAAACATATGAATATGGATACAACAAACAAAGAATCTTATTCTCAAGGGAATACGTTGTCTTCTTTTCTTTAGATTTTGGGGAACCAGATTCACTGTAACATTATAAATGACACTTATGCTGCTAGAGTATCTAACTTTTACATGTATGATGCTGTAAGGTAATGCTCATTTTACAGCACAACGAGCAAAAGTATGACCACATTTTAGGTATTTGCACACATACTTCTGTGCACTGGCTTTTTCCTGCCTAATGAGCATTTGCTTACCTTATTATTTTGCAGCCAGCAGTGCATCCAAATGTGTTGTTGAATGTACAGAAGCTAGCAAGAAGTATAGACGTATGCAAATACAGTACATTTATTTAAACGTGGTCATACTTTTGYGCATTGCACTGTAATACTATTCAAAGAAAACTTAAATTTAAACTAACCAAACTTAATTTCTGATCTAAGTCAGGGCACTGCTAACTCATACATTGGAATCGGGATTTAGTCTGGTAAAATCTGTAGAACCTACAAAAAACCCTCAAATCAAGGGAGAGACGTAATAAACTCTACCTCCCATTTTCTGTCAAGTGCAGGAACTGAGCTTCAACTTGAGACCATGAGGTTAAAATCAAGTCTATAGACCCCTTGCAGCACGTCAGAATGCAGCTCAATTTGGAGGACAAAACAATAGGTTTTCAATTCTCAGGAGATTGAAATTCTTTTGTTTTGTCCTCCAAATTGAGCTGCTTTGACGTCACCCGCAGTTGGAGTATTACTGCTATGCCAGCCTTGTTTCCTGTAATAATAATCATTCATCATGATAATAATATGAGGGTCCAAATTCATTTGATGTGTTTTTAAATTTAAAGAACCATTCGAAAAAGGATTTGGTTATTTAATGTTATTCAATTCGATTCCATTTTTTTAGTAAAGACATCCTTCATCGCTGGTCATATCCTATTGTTCCAGACAACAGCTCATTCTTCATGGAAGATTCATACAGCTATATCAGGCATAATTTATATCTAGATAAAGATCTATCTCTAGCAAGGTAAAAAGTTGATACACTTAACAGTAATGTGACTCCCTTCCCACATCTCCATTTTTCCTTTTATTTTCACTGCTATAGTGGTCCCTAGTCTAGCAAATGGCAACACCTTTCCCATTTTCTTTTTTTCCCTTTAATTTTCATTTTCTATAGTAACATGATTTGCTATACTTTTTCTATCTAGTCAGACTAGACAATGGCAACATATTTCCCATTTTCTTTACTTTTTCTTTTCATTTCCTATAGTCAAAGGCTGGCTTTATCTTCCCTAGTCTAGACAATGGCAATTAAACATATTTCCCATTTTCATCTTTCTTTTTTTTCCATTCCTATATTGGTAATATGGCTTTAACTTCCCTAGGCATCAACCTTTTTTATTTCCATTTTCCCATATTCCTCTTTCATTTCCCAAAATAATCATACAGATATCTTAAATTTCTAAGAATGAAAACAGTGCACTTGCCATTTCCCTTTTTTCTCTCATTTCCCATCTTGGCAAAACAGGTCATATCCATTGCATTCAGGTCAAAGGAGAGGAACTATATCATGTGTGAACATTTAAGAACCAAAAAATGGCATTTGTTGATAAAGTTTTGAAATTCATTTCTTTCTGATTTTTCTTTAAAGGGATTGTGAATTGAAAGAAAACCTCATCATTGGTTGTGGTACATCTGTTGGGACAGGGACTGTTCTTTCTAACTGTGTCATTGGGAAAAATTGTACCATAGGTAAACTAGACATATTATTTTTTTTAAATAATGGGATTTATATGTTATAGAAATAAGGACTTCTCCAAAACAATTGAGCTAGTTGCTTATGGTGTCTTGATGGAATGAGTGAATGTCTGGTCTGGAAGTGAGTTTCAAATTACAAATTGTAATAAATTTGAGGCTGAGGTTAATCATGATGTTGGCAAATGATAGTGGTGGTTGTGATAGTAGTAATGATGGTGATGATATGACGGTGGTGATGGTTATGATGATGATATATGATGGTGGTGATAAAGGTGGTAATGATGATGATACATGATACATAATGGTGGTGTGATGGTGGTGATGATGATGGTGGTGATGATAATGGTGGTTGTGATAGTACTAATGATGGTGATGATATATGATGGTGGTGATGATAGTGTTGATGATGGTGGTGATGATGATGATTATGATTATGATACATGATGGTGGTGTGATGATGGTGTTGGTGATGGTGATCACGATATGTTGGCAGATGATAGTGTTGGTTGTGATAGTAGTAATGATGGTGATGATATATGATGGTGGTGATGATGGGGGTGATGATGATGACTATGATAATGATACATGATGGTGGTGTGATGATGGTGAGGGTGATGGTGGTGATGGTGATGATGATGATATTTGATGGTGGTTGTGATGGTAGTAATGATGGTGATGATACAGTATATGATGTTGGTGATGATGGTGGTGGTGGTGATAATTATGATGATAATACATGATGGTGGTGTGGTAGTGTTGATGATGATGATGATGGTGATACATTATGGTGGTGTAATGATGATGGTGGTGTAATGATGATGGTGGTGTAATGATGATGGTGGTGTAATGATGATGGTGGTGATGATGGTTATACATTATGGTAATGGTGATGATGATGGTGATGATGGTGGTGTGATTATGATGATGATGGTGGTGTGATGATGGTGATACATTATGGTGGTGTGATGATGGTGATGGTGGTGTTGATGGCGATGATAATGATAATGATGGTGATGAAGGGGACAGTAATTGTGTTGTTGATAGTTGACATTGTTGATAGTAATGCGTAAAGATGATGATGATTGTGCCTTGTGGTCATGGTAGGGTAGTTATGCTATGATGACATTGTTGATTATGATGATGTCGGATGATGATAATGATTTTCAATAATGATATTGTTTCTGCACCAGGTGATAATGTAACCATACAAGGTGCTCATCTTTGGGATAATGTAGTGGTAGAGAGTAACTGTATCATATCTGATTCCATCCTGTGCTCAGGTGCTCACATCAAAAAGTAAGTACCCGGTAATTAGAGCTGTTTTGGTATGACTGTGAAAAAGTCAGTGTGGTATGTGTGCCTTGCCGCAACTGTGATGTTTTCTAGACTTTGGATTGGGGGATTTATTTCTCACGCAATGTGATTGGTCGGACAGTGCCATGACATTGGGGTGACCATGTCTGCGCCATGTTTCAGACATTTGATTGGATGAAGAGTAAATTCTCGTGCAATGTGATTGGTCTGGCATATGCCTTGCCCGTGTTCGTGCCGTGAGCTTTTCACAGTCATACGAAAACTGCTCTAAAGACTGATCCACTGCAACAGCAGTCATAACCAATGTCAATTCCATAGGGTCACTTGTAGTGTATTGACCCATTAGCCTCACTTGCATGACTTAATAACAAGAGATTTATTTGATGGCTGTACAACAATTGCACAGTCTTCATTATTTAGTAAACATTGATTATTTTGTTCATTTAATCTGCAGGGATGTCTCTATAACCACAGGTTCTCTGGTATCATTTAATGTAAGTCATCTTTGTCTTTTAATTTCTCATCTTAATTGGTAAAAGTAACGAGTGTGTGTTTGTAGGGTGTTGCAAGTTGTTGGTAAGTTGTTGGTAGTGTTGGAATAAAGAATTAGTAGCAAAGGGTGACTTAGGATGAGGGGTGCCAGTAGCGATTGATACAGTGTCAGTGAGTTGTCAGGAGGGTGTTGGTATCGGTATCATTAGTATGTTGGTAGGGTGGCTAGAGATAGGGTGCCAATACAGTGTTGGTATGGTGTCAGTAAGGTGTTGGTAGGGTGTCTTTAGGGTGTTGAGATAAGGTGTCAGTAGGGTATTGGTATGGTGTCAGTAGGGTGCTGGTAAGGTGTCTTTAGGGTGTTGAGATAGGGTATCAGTAGGGTGTTGGTATGGTGTCAGTAAGGTGCTGGTAGGGTGTCTTTAGGGTGTTGAGATAAGGTGTCAGTAGGGTGTTGGTAGAGTGTCAGTAGGGTGCTTGTAAGGTGTCAGTAGGGTATTGGTATGGTGTCAGTAGGGTGTTGGTATGGTGTCAGTAGGGTGTTGGTATGGTGTCAGTAGGGTGTTGGTAAGGTTTTAGAAGGTTGTAAGTAGGATGTAGGCAGAGTATCAGTGGGTTGTTGGTAAGGTATCAGACAGTCGTAAGTAGGCTGTAGGTAGATTGTGGTTTAACATTTATCAAGGGCAGTTTGCTTAACATATTTATTGTCTGCCTATTAACTATGTGTTGGTTCCTTCATCTTTCATGAATGATTTTAATATATGCATTTTTTTTTTGTCTGTAGGTTGTTATTGGCCCTGATATTAAACTCAAACCCAGATCTAGAGTTACACTAAAGCAAAAACAAGATGACGAAGGGGACTTTGGTATGGAGGATTTATCACTAGAGGACAAACAAGAGACTCAAGAACCACCAGGTAGGGAAGGCTATCTTCCATGTGGGGTGGGGTGGGGGATAGGGATAGAGGGGATACCCACTTACCGGGGGACCCCACTCTTAGATGTATCCCTATTTCTGCGCTGGAATGCCTCAAAATGCAGGAAGCAGCATCTATAATAATGTAAAATTGTAAAATTTGATATCTGTTTCTTAGTTGAGTTGCAGTTAATCTAGAATCTTTCCTTATCGTTGCTAGGGTTCAATGCCGAAGATGTTGGTGAAGAAGGTCAAGGTTACCTATGGTTACATAGTGATGACATTGATAGTGATGATGATGATGAAAACCGTGAGCTTGATCTATGGGGTAGGTAATACTGTCAACATGAAATGAAAATTTAAAAAAAATATGATTTTAAGATGATGATGATTTTAAAAGGTGTAGTTTTTGATGATGATAAATGATGATGAAGATACAGTAGTAATGGTTGTGATAAGAAGTGATTGCTGATGATGAAGATACAGTAGTAATGGTTGTGATAAGAGTTGATTGCTGATGATGAAGATACAGTAGTAATGGTTGTGATAAGAG